GTATGAAAATTTGTATTATCGATTTATGCATTACATGTCAGTGAGATCGTGATAATGTATAATACAAATATTTGTGTATAATACAAATAAAAGAATGCGCGCTACGAAGATCATAAACAATGCCTGCGCTTTGAGTCGATAAATATTTAATGGAATTGTAAAACGAGCGACACATGCGCTTCTCGCGAAATGCAAAATAAATGTAATTGCGTGCGCGAAACAACGAATAATCTACTCTTTTTACTTTCTTTCTCTCGATCACTGTCAATTTTTTTCTTTTGCAATATGGTTTGCACCGTCGCTGATACGCGAGATAAAACAGAGCTGTGTCAATGCGACTAAATCGCACGGGAGGAGAGAGCATTGCTCAAATGTCAAATTAACCCAGCCGGAGTTTGCGCATAATTGGAAATTCCGACATTTGTACCGAAGTGCCTGCACATTACGCGACAATCGCAATAAGAATAAAGTTGTAACTTTGTAGATTAATTGGCGCTTTTATCATATATACATCAATTATTCAATAAATGTCACGGAATATGAAATAGCGCGTTTTAATATATCATATTTTATTAAAAATGTGTCATTTATCGTTTCACGTCAAGCGAAATGTTATTATATTGTATTCAGAGTGAATTATTGGATATGTAAAAATAATGTATAATATAAAATATGTATAAATAATTTGTTTCTTTTAAGTTATATTAGCAGTTCTCATTTTTAAGAAAAAACTCTACTATCATTAATCATATCTCCCATTATTATATCATGCGGATGTGGTTCTGCGGTTCAATTATTTATCTGTACAAATAAAAGAGAAAAAACTAGATATAAAAAATTAAATAGTAATTCCCTTCGCTACCTAAGAAAGTTTTTTTCCATTACTGTATGTTACATAAGTTTTTTATATAATTTAGCTGATAAAAATTATTCAAAAAAACTTAAGTATAGATATTTATAAGTTTTTGAAGATCCAAGATTCGCAAGATCCTTTCAACGTCCAAGAGAAAAGATGGAGACCATAAATATATTTAATAGCTTACGCGAGAGAGAGAGAGAGAGAGAGAGAGAGAGAGAGAGATTTTTTCTAAAGACCATTTACCCTTTGTACGTTTTAAGAAAAAAAATATACTGTATTATGCTGGTTCAAAATTTCATTCTCTTTCATTTTCATTCGTTCTCTCACGTTAATACCCGTATAGTGATTGCGACCGTAAAATGAGTCCCCGAGATTTTCTCTTATTCACATGTTGACACGAAGCGAGTTCTTTCGAAACGCTATTTCAATTAAAAGTTCGACGGGATTTTTTTTATTCTATTCATCCGCTTATGTCTTTTGTTGCGGTCGCAAGTTAACAAGTACACCATTTTGTCTCATTTCCATTCAATGCTCGACTAATTCGCAAAAAACAGATTGTCAAGCGCATAAAGTGTATTATTTTGCAAGGCATACATATTTTTCGCTGTGCAAATTTAAGGGAGTTAACTCTTGCTTCCAGGAAGCAGCTCCTTTTCACAGGAAATGGAAGTAAGTATTCCGCGAGATTACGGACCCCATTTATATCTCATATAATTTATACTCCGTGAAAACTCGAGTGAAAAGTTTACCGTTAGCACGATGACAGCATGTGAACGTCATATCTCGTCAGGAATAAATTTTCATGTTTCGAGAAGAATATTTTGGCCTCTCGAAGAAGAGAGCTTTATAAAGCACTGCCGACGCTTATTCGTTTGTTGCGTAGAAATTCTAAGAGAGAGAGAGAGAGAGAGAAGGATACGATAACGAAATAACACCGTGCTTCATCTTTACCCTCCTTTGATACGAAACTTGATCTCCGGTAAAAGTGACACGCCAGTATCGTATGTCGTACCTTCTCTCTTGCCGTGCACGACAAATTTCGAGGTATTATCGGACGGAGGTCAAACACCATGGCATGCAAAATCGCTTTAATAGATCACTTGAAATTCATCTCATGTAGATCCTGTGGAATGCAAATATAACTACACGACTTCACGACACACAAGCATTTTCTTATAATATTTTATTTTTCATAATCTCTTTCCGCCTTTATATATAATCTTCATAAATTCCATGATGAGATCTCATACTTTTACTTGTACTACTTGGAGCGAGAATTGACTACGACAATTTCGCTGAAAATCGTTATCAAGACACAAAAGCGTGAATCGCGAGACACAATACGCTGGTTTCGTTCAGGCAGCACGCGATTACCTTGAGATAATCCCAGGGACCAGAGTCCGGGGGCAAACGTAATTACATTATTACGGATTACAACGATTTGTGCAACAACTCTCGTGTGGCTCGACGAGATAAAAAAAAAAGAACGAAATAAAGTCCTGTGACTACAGAAATACCATCTGTGGTGGAAATACAAGCGATACGTAACAAGCAAGAGTTCGTGAAGAAAAGGGAAAAAGAAGAGATATGAAAAGAAGAGAAGAGCGCAAAGAGAGAAAGAGAGAGAGAGAGAGAGAAAGAGAGAGAGAGAGAGAGAAAGAGAGGAAGAAATAACGCCAGCCATGGTTGCGTCGGTTAATCCAAGTCTGATGTATGACAGCCGAGGCTGCTATTTGCCGGCTGTCACCCTCGCCACTCCCAAGATCTTCCGTCTTCTAATGCCATCGTCGTGGAAATGACAAACGGTGGAAAGTAGAAAGATAACAAGGTAGCCTTTTTCGGAGGGCGATATAAACCCTCAACCCTCGAGGCGCATCACGTTGGATCGCGATGCTTAAAAACATCAGAAAGGCCATGGCTTTTGACTCTACTTCTCGCATTAGCCGTCACCCGGACACAGATTAATATTTCACTCTCATAGAGCCGCAACGCGAAACTCGATAAATCCATTCCCAGCGTCCTTTCGACACGTACGACAAGGTATTAAAGCTTAAAGGAGAGAGAAATAATATAGAAAAATATATATATATATAATTCTCTTTCATTCTTTCTTTCTTGAAATTGAGATTATTATCATCACCATTATTATTATTATTATTATTATTATTAATACTTCTGGATATACGATTTTGTAATTGAAAAATTTAATTTCTTTCTCTTATTGTAACGTAGCGAACGGATAATTCCGCGAAATAGTCGCAATAATTGTTGTAAATTATATTTTATATAATACTTAATAATTTTGACGTGACATTAAACTTTGAAGGTTTTAAAAACATTTGGAAAAAAATTGCTGCAAAAAAGATAATTGGATAATCGACTAGATTTCACATAAAATATTTGCATAAAATAATATTTTACTGCAAGAGGAAAATGGCATGACTTATGAGACTATTTTGCTCGTAGGCTCAATTTCCCTCAGAGATTGGAGAAGAGAAATCGCAAGGAAGAGAGAAAAAAAATCTTCGAAAGAATAATGGATTACCCGAGTTATCGCGCGGCGGCAATATGCTTGTTCAAGCAGAATGTGAACCGTGAAGGGATTGTCGATTATTCCGAATGCACGAAATTACTTACGGCGTCCGATCGCTAATTAGAGATCTCTTTTTACACATGTTCATTGCGTTGCACAGAGAGCGCAGTCACGGCTTTCGGGCGGCGCACTCGTTTTGTTAATGAGATGAATGCGCCTTTTGGAGTTAATTAGCGGAGGATTACGAGAGATGTGATGAATCGATATCCGATTTCCGTTTCTGCGATTCGCTCTTTTCTGTAATAATATGACAAATGTGTATTTCTATTCCTAAAGCAGCACTCCGTGTTCCGTCGTGGATCAAGAAACACTAATATTTGCGGCAAAGCGTTTTGCATATAAATTATAGCGAAGCGTCGGAAGAAACGTTGATCTACACTACTTGGCGAAAGAGACTTGAGTTGCATGCAGTATAAGCTTCTTCGAAAAAAAAAGTCAGCAATCATAAGCCAGTGTAAATATTTCAATTGAGTGACGATATTGCGAAAAAGCGGAGAAGTCTTAAATTTGAAACTTTATTTATTTTTTTATTTAAAAAAATCGTCTACTATAATTTCTTTGATTTTTGTTTTCGCGTTTACGAGAGAAGAGAGTATTAATTTTCAAAATAAAGCGATTGAGGAAACATTTCTTTTGCATTTTATGATAGAGAGATATTGCAAAATTGCAAATAATTTCAAATAATATATATCAATACAATCGGCAGTGAAGATATTACGGTTATATTTCTCGCAAAATTCATGATGATTACGCGTTGTATAATAAAAATCAGTCACTTGCCGATTCCTTGAATATGAGAAATAGAAAATTAAAAAAAAATAATAAATAATTATTTATTTCGATCGCGCAATCACATAAATAAATACTTATACACAACGGAACACGAAGATTAATTAATAAGATTACACCAATCAATCCTTGAAAAATGATCTTTGAGATACCTTCTAAGGCAGTATTTGCAGCCAAAAGAGTTTAGCATCGTTTCACGACGACGGTAAGTACGTTGGAGTAACATCTCATTGTTAAGTCGCTTTGTCTTACGTGTATGGTTTAGAAAGTTTATTTGCCTCGCCAAATACACCTTCTAAATCGGACGACTTCCGGCATGCTTCTAAACCCGTTATCGATTTTTTATACTCATGCAGCAGCTGTAATATTACAATAATTGCGATATTAACACCAATTCAGCTTTATGTATGTGACTTGTCGTCATTATGGGAATCTGTATCGTTAATTTCTAATAATAATTCGCCGCTTCGCGAACACACACGATAGCGCGTTTGGAAAAAAATTCCTTTACAAAGCATCTTTAATTTATATACACAACTCTACTTTTTCTACTCTCTACTCCATTCTAAATACATACCATTCAACCAACAATGATCAAATTTTAACTCATTCCATACACAATATGTATGTATAATTATATATATGGGCATGATTACTAAAAACCATGTACAATGGCAAATCAATATACTTATGTACTTGTCAGAGGGAAATTGTCTAGGGGTGTGTTTTTTCTCTTTCGATTTCGACAAATGAAATTACCTGAGATCGTTGCCCTTGGATCTTCTCATGCCGCGCGGCGGATGTCGCGGTGGCGGAGTGCACCTGCAGTCACAGTGCATCACACACAGCGCGACGCTGGTCGCGAGAGTCACTACGAAAGGCGCCGCGAAGAAGTGCATAATGATGGTGATTTGTGCCTCGCGATTATAGTTCGCCATCACTATACTACCGTTCACCCGGCTATAATGGCAGGGAAATCTCGCGCCCTCGTAACCCAACTCGCGGGTGAAGTTCTCGCAGTCGACCGTAGGCGGATATCCACAGCCCTTGATGTTCACCAGCAGCACCGCCTCGACGTCCCCCGGGGAGGACACTGCTCAACAAGAGATATTTTATAGCGAGGATTAGCGCCGGGGAGATTTGAATTTTCATCTTTTTTTTTTTCTCTTTTTTTTTTCTTAGCACGCGTGCAATGTCGATCTACTCAATTGAAACGTATTCCAATTTCTTTTCGATATTTCCCAAGCGGTACATTCTATTTTACAGTCAAATAACAGCGGCGAAGAAGATGGAAATTTGAAATATCCGTCATGTTGTTTGAGTTTCGCAGACCTAGTCTGTTGATACAAATCATATATTTCATCGATAATTTCACGTTTCTGAAGAGTCAAGATCGCATTACGATATATTTCAAATTTCTTTATTCCTTCATTTTCTTTATATCATGTTTCTCTGCATTATGGATATATTTCGGTTATATTGAAAATTCCTTGCCCCAATTATAAGTTTATTCAATTTCTCATTTATATACTCTATCCCGCCAAGGTGTTGCGTTTGATCGTTAAATGCTTTCGCTAAATACACGATTATCTTAATTAAATTTTATCTATGTATTTTCCCACTTGCGGTCTTAATCTATACTCCGAATTATATGTATATTAATTACTTGCATGCGAGTCCAATATATAATCCACGTTTCATTAAATTTATTTTATATCTGACAGCTGCTGATGACAGTTGAAAATCACAATCGAAATGTTCTCAAAATAAATACTTTTTTTTTTAGACAAGAAAGGAAAAAATATGCGTCCATTTTACTTCCTATATCTCGATTATATATATATATATATATACATATATATATAAATATTATCGAAATGCCGAAGAAGAAGAAGAACTAACTGCGGCCTACCGGCAGTGACGGTGGTCGTGACGTTGGTCGCGACGGTGGTGTTTCTCCCGGCGGTGTCATTCCTCATGGTGACGTTATTCCAGGGCGTGTAGGTGACGTATATGTGGGTGCACCTGTACACGTCGCTGGTGCAACCCTCGCGGCAGGAGCTCCATGTGCAATTGAAGAGACCGGCGAGCTCCTCGCGCCGCGAGGTCGTGCAGATCACCGGCTCGGGCGAGAAGTCCGCGGCCAGGGTGCTGATGGCCGGATCGACGTAGAGCGGTACCAGGAAGAGAAGCGCCGCACCGCCGGACGTGGCGACGAAGGCCAGCGCCGACGTGGCGTAGAAGTTAAGCCGCTGACGGCAGGTACGCCGTGGCGGTCGGCGCCGCGACGCGCCGAACCCGAGCTCCAACAGCTTGCGACGACGTAGCTCCCGCTCGTGGAACTCGTGCCCGCCGCCGCCGCCGTCGTCGCTGTCCCGACGCTGGTGTCCCCGTTCGCTCTGGCACTGGCTGCAGCTCGCCTCCAGCAAAAGTTCCGAGCTACTTCCGCGCATCACCCGGATCACGCGACTCTTTCAAGTGGGTGACGACGCTTCGCGCGGCTACAAGTTTCTTCTTCTACGCCGCCTTCTTCTCTTTCCTCTTCTCCTTGTTCGGGTGGTGCTCGCTGCTGCTGCTTGATGCTCGTTTCCGCGACGACTCATCGAGCGCGCCAATCTACAGGCCGATCATCGCTTAGGCCGTGTTTGTTATGCGGTTATTCTTGGTTCTCTCTGAGGATCAACTGTCGAGCAGACACCCGTCTACCATCGTTTTCCTCGTGGATGACTCGTCCGGCAGAGGACGGGGGATCCAGTGAACTCGATCGTGTTTCCGTCTTTCGTATCTAGGAGACATTGAGAGCGAGGCCGTTTACTAGCTCGAGCTTCCAAAACGCGGGATGCAGTCGTCGGGTGACTTTGTCGTACGGAAGCTCGATGAAGGTTGCATCGAACGATAGTTGTTTCTTTTTTTTTTTTTTTTTTCGATACAAAACTAGATTTATAATTTGCGGTGAAAGTGTAGTCTGTTCGGACCTCTAATTCAATGGATTATCGTTTAAACATTCTATTGTCGCGAGCTTTCTCTCAAAGTTTCGAGGAACGTCGTGAAGAATGATCTTGAAATCGATGCAGGGCCGCGAGCAATCTTGATTCGACATTACGCAACAGATTCGCGGCCAATTTGATTATCGCCACGTCTGCATCTTCAAATTCGATGCTTGCTTAAGTAACAGTACTGATAAATCTTGACGTGGCATAGATAAACCACGCACGGCTTCTCCGAATGCCTCTCTCTCTCTCTTTCTCTTCCGATATTCACCTCTCTTTCACTTTTCAGTTCCCATCTTATCCATATACATAACACGGTACACTCTAAGGTTCCTGCGGGTTATCAAATTGAGTCGATCGATCACGACCTTTCAGCCGCTGCTATTTTATAGGAAATCATGGATTTCGATAATGCGCGCGTATGGCTCGTATCTGCACGCGTATGAAAAATCTTTTCGGAAAGGCTGCGTGAGACGTTTCACGCGTTAGAAAATCGCGTGATCTGAAATCGTTAGTCCGTTGATCCCAAGTTAGGCCTGTGTGCTATTCGTTTTTATTATTATTTTTTTTTTTTTTTTAATTTTTGGTATCGTTAAGGCGCACGTTGTGATATTTTAAACGACGAAGATACGGGGAAGTTGAAGAGATTCGATATCGCGTTTGTCAACTTGTGCCAACCAGATCGATGTGACGCGATTGTTGTCTTCTATATCCTCGATGTACAGGTCTTTAAGAGCGATTATCTTCTCTCAGCTGAATAAAAGCGCTTCTTCGCGACACTCAACGATCTGCCACGCTCTCCAGATCGATCCGACGAAGAAAAAAAAAAGAGAGAAAGCAGATCGCTCGAGGCCACCTTTATACGATTTGAAAATCCGTGCGAGCCTCCACCGGCTGAATTTTGACAGCGTTTCCGGATTACGATTTCACGCCGAAGGACCCATTCATGGTGCGAGCTTAATATACGGATTCTAACACCAGTTCGCATCCGCAACTGGTTGCCACGCAGCGAATTCCTGGCATCGGTGCTGGTCACATCGATCCTGAAATTCCCGTCACACGCGACTCCTCCGTCTGATGACAATCGATCCGCCACTACTGTCGATCCTGCCTCGGGAACACACGCACCATAATTAAATTTAAGCGGTTGCTTTCTTCGATTGGTGTTCTTCGATTTTTTTCGCGATTCGAGGGAGGTAGGTTTTGGGAGTCGGTCAGGAGGAGGAAACGTGTCTCGGTGAAGGCTCGCAAGACGAAGCTTCAACAGACAAGGGGATCGACAGGGGATGTTCGTGGGGGACCTCCTTCTTTTCCGAGCACTTGCGCGTTCCTGGCGAGTGCTGTCCGCCTCGCGGATCGCGGGTTAAAGCGTGACTATTCGACCACCTCGGCGAAGAGTCCTCGACAGGACAGGCCGTGGTCCGAAGCGACAGGGCGGGGTTCCAGGCGCGCATGAGCGACGGGTACAACCCCTCACCCTCGTACCCCGTTGTGCCACCCCCGCGATGCATTCTCCTTGTTTACGCTCCTGCTCTGTCCCGCCTTGCTTCCTCCGCTCTTCTATGGGATGTCTTTAATTTAACGCATAATATTTTAACAGCTATCGTTGAGATCCACCGATTTTTTTTATTTCCCGCGACGAAATATATGTTTTTACGGGAGAGTGATTGTGGATATGTTTATATATATATATATGATTTGTGTTATCGCATTTATAGAAAAAATTGCTCGATTATATTATCGTCATATTCAAATTATATAAATTGTTGACATATAATATAATCACTGATCACATATATACATTAATTATTTAATATAATGTAAGCGATTATTATATAGCTCAGAGCTATATTATAGGGATAGATTTCATACAGAGTGGAAAGAGGATTAAAACTTTTAATAAAATTCAAATATTTAAATATTTTAATGGCTAAATTTTGGAGAGAAAAATGAAGAAAGCAGAATTCTATCGGACGGTAGGCTATTTTAAATTTTAAATAAATGGGATTAGGATTTTATTATTCACATACATATAATGCAAAGATTGAATCTATATTCTTCACGGCTTATAACACAAAATCTTGTCTCAAGGAAAGTTACTTGCAATTTGTTCGGAAAGTTTCCAAAGTATTATCCGATAGACCTGGGACACTGTATATATACCGCACTTCAACGCGCGTTCTTCCACTTTTCCTCCCTTTCTCTCTTCCCCATTATCATCTTTTAATTGCGTTCTATAATGAAGCCAATTTTTTATTTGAAGTCTTAGTATTTTCGCGTTACAGCACAATGAATAGACGATGTTTTAGGCTCTTCAAAAATCGTTTGATGGACGTAAAATATGGTTGACGATTAAATTTGTGAAAGTTAAGAGACTCAATTTACAAAAAAAAATGTGAATTGCAAAAGATACATTAATAATTTTCTTTTAATCTTTTCGATTTATAAAGAAAAAATATAAACATTAATTAACACAAAAATTCATCCGAATATATAAATCATTTATACAGTTGGAAAATTTGTGTTAAATATTTAATTTTCATATATCAATTTAACATATTGCAATTGTGTTAATTGAACTTAAATGTCAAATTATTAAAACAACTGAAAAAAGATGTAAAAATAACACAATGTGCATCTATTTTTAATTTTACACAATAAATATCTCCTGTTTTTTAGTGGCAAGATTTAAATCTTTTAAAATTTATTTATAATATAAATGAGGATGATAAAATCTAAGATATTATTCGTGTCCATTTGATATATCGACATTATGTTAAATTAACACAAAAATTTCTATATGGATCGTTTGGAACATGTGATATATATGTTAAATTTAACACGAATTTTTCAACTGTGTTGATATAAAATATTCACACCATGATTTAAAATTAAGATAAAAAATGTCGATAATAATTTGACATGTGTGAATTGTTAATATCAATTTTATTTCTACATTTTTAATCAAAAACGAACTTTCTGAAAGTTCTGTACATGTGCCGACTTTATCTAGCTACGAGGGAGATACATCATATATTCATGTATGTGATGTAACGCACTGATAGTTTCCGAGATCATTGCGGACTGTTGGGACACAATTTACTTCCCTTTAGGGAGTTGTCCTTGATTGTTACGTGTGTCACACGTAACAAAACTACATACAATTCCCGCCAGGCTCTCATCGAGAGCTAACTACCTATCTACCTTGTGGTGCAACGAGAAATCAAACGCGGCGTTATCGTTCTAGATTATCTAGATCATCGGCCACGATTCTAATTCGCTACTTAAATCGCGATACGAATGCCAGATACGTGTTTGTAAACGACCGCTCGGGAAATTTATTATAACGCTAAACCCTCTCGTGATTTTCTACCATTGCGATTGTGCTTGTACTCACGAATATGCTGGAACATGTGGCCGAACTTCGTGATTTAAATGACAGATCGGAAGCATTAGGTCACATCTGTCGTCGCCCGGTGCTCAAAGAAAGTCGGATCAGCGAACTTATCAAGGCTCACACGTTGAATCTCATGTATTCCGCCACGTTGAATTGCGATGTTTCGCATCTGCAAATTTTACGATGCTATTATAATTAATTTTATACAAATATATTTGCAATTTTTTAAGTACTGTACATTCGTGAACAAATTAATGCATTCTTTTTATAGAACAAATTTTTTTTTCTAAATAATACATATTAATTTTATATTATAAAATATTATATAGAAAACTATATATAATAATATTATAAAATATAATAAAATATTAAAATAATAATATTATAAAAAACAAATTACGTTTAGTGCCAAATTTATAAAATGTGAAGATATATGAAAAAGTACAATAGAATTGAAACCAAATTTGTTGTTCAACGATAAATGTATAAAGAAATTTCTTTTATAAAAGTCTGTACACTATTATATATTTTGAATAGTATGTTTCACTAATTATATAATAAAACAATATTTGGACAACACTTTGCTATTATTCCAATTATATGTAATCAAATTGTGGCAGTAAACTATTTACACATAATCAAAAAAAGCATAATTAAAACCTGCCGAAATTATACATATCAAGAAAACGAGTATTCGTCGCTTTCGATTTCTCTCATAATAATGCCGATGTTAATGACAATATCGAAAACAAATCATAAAAACAACAAAGTTATATACAAAATACGACATCTTACCAGAACAATCAATCCACGCAGCTCCATTTAATCGCTATTCAACAATTTTAAATATTCCCAATACATATGACACATCTTCCCTTTAAACGTAAAAATTTGTAGCGACTTATAAATAAATTCACCAGATCTTTGAAAAAGTAATGTTTATTCATTGAAAGTATAAAGCGAAAGAACAAAAAGAATTAATATGTAACAAATAAATGAATGAATGTGTTGTTATGGAAATATTTATTTTTCTTAAAAACATTATGTATATTAATGAATTGAAGTTATTACAAATGTATAAAGATGTAATCTGCTAAAGATCCTCCAGACAAATGACGAATTTCTCGAAGTAATTCCGAAGGCTTTTTATCATTAAGTTCAATTCCAGCTAATATTTGTCTCAAACGTTTTTCCTCTGAATCCGTAAAGCGATTTATTAATATTTTCTTTAAATAATTATATTTATCTGTTTCAGGTGGATTTTCAATGACTTCAGATATGTTTACTAAGGCTTGTTCATCAAGATGACGAATGACAGAACTATATTTAATATCATCTGATCGAATTCGATAAACCGTAAACTCACTTTCAATAGAAGCAAACCAGAGTTTAGGTTGTTTATGCCAGAAAGTCGGTAGTTTTAATAAACGAAACTCATTTGAGTGAATTTGTAACATAGGATCACTCACCTGATGTCCAGTTTGAGAAGGTAAAATATTAATATTATCTGATCCAACCTGATTTGATCCGCTCGCCAAATCCATATCAATCTGTGTATCCGAACAGGGTCTAACTGGTGATCTATCGATTGGCATTTTCCTCTTGTTCCAGGAATCCGATAAAATGATTTGAGAATTTCCGTGAAGGACTAATTCGCCTCTGATGTTTCAAAGATCCGGAGAATGAATCTCTTAAAATCAGAATATCCAGCAATTCTTCCAAGCGATGATAATATTTCGCAGACTTCAAATACGACGATCACTTGGCACTTATTCCGCATCAGCCTTTAAAATGCGTCGGCTTTAATATCACGTCGGCTTTAATATCACGTCGGCTTTAATATCACGTCGGGGTCACCAAAAATGTAGCGACTTATAAATAATTCACCAGATCTTTGAAAAAGTAATGTTTATTCATTGAAAGTATAAAGCGAAAGAACAAAAAGAATTAATATGTAACAAATAAATGAATGAATGTGTTGTTATGGAAATATTTATTTTTCTTAAAAACATTATGTATATTAAGGGTCGACAGGTCGGCCGGCCAAACTCCGAATTGATGTTGGTGACCTCGCGCGGTGACAACGCGAAACTCCGATTTCAGTGTTGCCAACGCCGAGAAACCAATTCTCGGGTTTTATGTAGTGGTGCATGTCTGTACACGTACATACACTATTGCATTGCTCACGCGGACGCACCGTAGAGAGACAAGGACCGATAATTACGTGTTCTCCTTGTTCCTCTATCGTGCCGGTATTCGCGAGATACGGCCTGAAAATGCTTTCTGGCCTTCCGTAGCAGAAGGCAGTAGCGTAGCAAGGCTAATAAGTATACCTACTTTTTGTAAATTTTATATATGCTTATGCACATATGTGCGTATATATATATATATATATATATATATATATATGTATATATATATATATATATATATATATATATATAAGGGATATGTTGATTATTCTTGATTTCTTTTTGATTATTGATGCTATTGTATCATTTGCTCCAAATACTTATAACGTGAAAGAACGTTGAGTAACGTATAATCAATGCAAGGATGTTCAGTATATCATCCAGTAAATTAGAGTTCAAATATTTCAATATCAATTTTTTTATAATATATATATATATATATATATATATATTAAAATATAGAAAAATGATAAAAAAATATATTTCGGCGATTTAAAAATTTTTTAATATATTGAAAATATTTTTACTACATACACTATATATATAAGTGTAAAATAATTCAGAAAATAAATTTAAAAATAAATTTAATAAAAATCTACATACCAGCTGTGTGCATGTGTGCAATTGATTTATTACTTGAAATTTATTTACGGAATTATTTTGCATTTATATATTTATAGTGTGTGTAGTTGTAAAATATGATTAAAATATTTTCAATATCAAATTTTTAAGTTTATCGCCTATATACAAATATATTTCTATGATTTTTCATATTCCAATATATTATAAAAAAATTGATATTGATA